GTGTGGTTTGTGCCCCATCGGGTGGCCAAACTGGAAATTTCAAACAAGTTCCAGCAAGGCAAGTTAACCGAAACTAATCAACATAATACCTTTGGGAAATTGAAGCCTGCAACACAAGTGTTCTCATGGGAGAGTTCTATAAATGAAAATCACAATAATGTTATGGCAATGTTTCCTTACACTTGAAAATAAGGGATATGCAGTTTATGGAAAATCCCTTCCCAAATTTTGCAACAAAAAATTAAACTATGACCATCACTTTTTACTTAAGTTAAATAAAAGCTTCACTGGGTCAGCTTTCCAGTCACAGATTAAAATATCATTTAAATTATTTAAAAGGAGACTATTAATTTAAAAGGATGCTATTAATAGTAATGCTTTAAGTTCTGTCCTCTTCATATGTAAAACATAATGAAACCATAAAAATGTACAGAAATTTGGAGCTATATGGGTCCTTAGAAAATAGAGGGCTGTGAGCTTAGAAACCATCAACTCCATTTCTCTCACTTTACAGATGAAGAACCTAAAGCCCAGAAAGAGGAATTGATTTCGTCAGGGTCACATGGTCTGGGTGACCTGACTCCCAATGCTTACACATCTGTGCTCAAGAGACTAGCTATCTATATATGATCCTGGACAAATAAATAACCTTTCTGGACCTTAGTTTCCTTGCCTGAAAAAAAAACAAGAAGACAGATAATCTCTCAATTCCCTTTTAACTCTAAAGTCCTGAAATTTAGATACCTCATTATTTTAGTACCTTACAAAACTACAGCGTACACTGAAAAAACCATTCCTGGTTCCTGAGAAACCAAAGCAGCACAGGACCCTAGGGAAGAAAATACAAGTCAGCAGCCTAAGGCACCAAATATATTTGCTTCTTTTGCTAATATCCTGTAAAATATTAACATGGTCATACTAGACTATTTGGTTGAAACTGGTCTAAATTAATTTTGATTAATCAATTACAGAATTCTAAAATATACAATCACTGATACTAAATTTTAAAAAGTACACTTTGGGGCTTCCCTGGTGGCGCAGTGGTTAAGAATCCGCCTGCCAACGCAGGGGACACGGGTTCGAGCCCTGGTGCAGAAAAATCCCACATGCTGTGGAGCAACTAAGCCCGTGCGCCACAGCTACTGAGCCTGTGCTCTGGAGCCCGTGAGCCACAACTACTTAAGTCTGCGTGCCTAGAGACCGTGCTCTGCAACAAGAGAAGCCACTGCAATGAGAAGCCCACACACCACGACAAAGAGTAGCCCCTGCTCACGGCAACCAGAGAAGGCCCGCGTGCAGCAACAAAGACCCAACACAGCCAAAAATAAATTAATTAAATAAATTAAAAGAAAAAAAAGTACTCTTATAAAGCTTTATTGATGTTTTATATTATATGCCAAGATTTACACTCAAATAGATTACTGGAAACAGGGATAGTAGTCTCTTCCCATTTGTGTTTGTTGTTTGTAAAAACTATTCACAAATGGATCAAACTGATTTTCTTTATATGGTTTCTCCATGTTGCTCTATTCTTTTATGCTCTATTGTTCTGCCTATGAAGACCAAGTCTGTGAATGCCACAATTCATTTTTAAATTAGAAACTGATAATTTTCAGGATATTGATGGATCACTAACAATAATTTTAACAATCTAAAAAATGAAATCCATTAAAAGTTAAATCAAAAACCTATGGGGGGTGGGCTTCCCTGGTGGCGCAGTGGTTGAGAGTCTGCCTGCCGATGCAGGGGACACGGGTTCGTGCCCCAGTCCAGGAGGATCCCACATGCTGCGGAGCGGCTGGGCCTGTGGGCCATGGCCGCTGGGCCTGCGCATCCGGAGCCTGTGCTCCGCGTTGGGAGAGGCCACAGCAGTGAGAGGCCCGCGTACTGAAAAAACCAACCAAACAAACAAACCTATGAACTGGGACTTCCCTAGTGGTGCAGTGGTTAAGAAACCTCCTGCCAATGCAGGGGACAAGGGTTCAAGCCCTGGTCTGGGAAGATCCCACATGCCGCGGAGCAACTGAGGCCGTGCGCCGCAACTGCGGAGTCTTTTCTCTGGAGACCGCAATCCACAACTACTGAGACCACGTGCCTGGAGCCCGTGCTCCGCAACAAGAGAAGCCACCACAATGAAAGGCTCATGCACCGCAACGAAGCTGCACGTCGCAGCTAGAGAGAGCCCGCACACAGAGGCTAAGACCCAACGCAGCCAATAAATAAATTAAGTTAATTTTAAAAAATACAAAAAACCTATGAACTACAACAGAACTTGAAAAGCTCTGGCCCTATATTCTTATTTTATGAAAGAGGAAAGAACCCTGGAAAGGCAAAAAGACTGTCCCCATGGCCTCATGATGAACATATACAAGAACTAGCACTTATTGTATGACCATGTGTACACAATAATACATATAATCAGAAATGTAAAACAACATTTTCAGCTTCAACCTAATTCTCTGCTTATTTCAAGTAAAATTTAATATAGCAAAATGACATAAAACCAAAGAAGCTGAACAGTTCATAGTCGTTCACAGCACTAGAAAGCAGCCTACACAAGAAATCAGGAGTAATACACCCAAATTTCATCACCAGTACTTGAAAAACAAATTCAAGTGTCTGGTCTACTAAGTGTTTCAAGAGCATCATCTTCATATATGAAAAACATGTTACTGCATTATGAGAAGGTTCTTTTCCCTAGCAAATGCTAACATCTTTTATGATGTCCTTTTTTCCCCAAAGTTTTAAGCTGCCAAAATTCCTAGACTCTAAAGACGCTTATTTATGCCCCTTTAACTATTTTTAAAGGAACAGCACCAGCTCTTGAGAAATAGTATACAACACACAGACCCCAACCCTATAAAAAATGTCTTTAATGGATCCAATTCACAAAGAAAAGTGCTCCTTATTAATTTTGCCTACCAAACAATGAGCTTTTCCACAACAGGAGTCACATAGTAGGGACCCTCTGCAGAATAAAATTTCAACAATTAATGAATTTTTCAAAAAATAATTTCTAATTGGCCTAGGAAAGATAATGCAGTCACACATATGAAATGTGTTCCTCTCCTCTCTGACCAAACTAAAGTAACCATTTAGGACTAATGTCCAAATGGAGTATGTGAATGAAGAGTCCCAGAATGACTCCAGCCACAAAGCTGACCTTATAAATCAAGAGGTAATTTCATCTTCAAACTAAATCTTATGCTTCTTCCAGCCCCAGAAACTGTATTCCAGATTAATACAATTCTATGAAACAGTTAAGTGCTGTAATACTTAAAATGAATCATAGCATACAATCAGCCACTATTACTTCTCCCCAAATGAAGCATTCCATACTATATAACAAGTATAAGATGTTGCTTCAGCATGCTGTGGTCTATGAAGAGCTAGCAGTGGTGCTGAAAATTACTACTAGAAAGATGAAAGACCAATACCTTCCTTTCAATAAAAACCATCATCTGGACTCTAGCCAAGGTTTTAAAACTGACCAAATGTTATTAGAAACAGTAAATCAAAAACTCTGCAGGCTGAAAAGCTAATCCCTTATTTCATTCTTACAAAATGTAGCCACAAAACACTACAAGAAAATTAAGTGAAAAGAAAGCATTCATAATTTTGGGCCTTTCACTTCTGGCAATACTCAAATACTGTATGTCACAAGGTGAATTTATTTTACAATCTTCAAGGTTGTTTAACCTACTTACATCCCTTTCCTTTTCTTCAATTATTACAACTGTTATACGAATAAATAAACCCGCGTTGTTGCCTAAACATCCTATCAATGAACTTAAAACAGAAATTAAACAGAAAATCGAAATGTCTCAATTTATAAAACCTAGCTAGAATATTTGTGTTCATATTGATTTTATACTCTTTGTTCCTGCACATAACATAGATGTGAATTCCTGGAGGTTACAGATTAAGTCTTTCTCTATCCAGGAGCTGAACTGCCAGCCACTGAGAATAACCTATTGCAATGCTTAAAGCCCTTCAGGTATCTTGGCTTCTGAAAATATAAATGAGCTCGTTATCTTCACTTTTCTTTTTATTAGCGTAAGGTTCCTTATCACTATCTATTAAATACCCTTCAGGAGCTGTTATCACAGAAATTAAGGGTGAGGAGGGCCATGATTTCTGTAATAACACAGGTATGTTTTCAAAGTACATTGTCTACAAGATGGTACTTTTCTCCCTAGCTAACAAAAATTTTAGGAAAGAAAACCTTAACATTTTAATAATTCCCTTCTTTCTTCCTTCCTCTTCCCCTTCACTCCATTCCAAAACAACAGAAGAGCCAAAACCAAAGATATGATTACTTTATATACTTCATTAAATTAGTGAAAAAACGAATCGCCGTCTTTTTATCAAAACAAAATAGTTGATTACGATACGTTTGCATACTGTAACCACCGCATGTGTGATACACATTTAAATCAAGTTTCAACGCTGTTACAAAGCCTTTGTCAACAGTGGGCAAGTGGGGGAAAGCTGAAGGGCTCTGTGGAATGAAGGAAATCACTAGAGGGGCTTATCTGGGAAGAGAAGGATTCCTTGGTGAGAGGTGAGCAGAGAGAAACAAGACCTAACCTTGGCGAGGGGGCGCTCGCCCAGGGTGGGGACCAGAGGTCAGGGTGAGCGGGAGGAGGGGATTAGCGCGGAACCGCCGCGACCCCGGGCTACCCTCACACCCCGACTCCCCCACCTGCGGCTCGCCCTCCCACCACCATTCCCCAGCCCCGACCGGCTGTGCCGTCCCTCCCGGTCCGCCGCCCGCATATCCGTTACCCCGGCGGCAGCGGGGCTGCGGGGGAGGGGAAGGTCAGCGGGGCCCGGAGGGGGCCGGCCGCGGCGGGGATGCCGCAGTGGCTCCCCGCCGCACCGGGTCAAAGTCCGCCCGGGCGCGGGGAAGCAGCAGGAGCGGAAGGCGGCGGTGGAAGTCGGGACTGGCGAGATGGTGGCCCCTCCGAGTCCACCCACTACCCGGCCGCTGCCGGTACCTCATACTGGATGTATTGCTTCCTCCACTCGGGAGTGATGTGCGCGGAGAGGTGCTCGGCGAACTTCATCCTGTCGTCTCCCCCTCACTCCCACTCGGATCCAGCAGTTACAGGCGGCAGCGGCGGCGGCGGCGGCGGCAACAGCGACTCCGACTCCTCCCCACATGGGCCCCGGCGCGGCGCGGCGATGCGCTTCTCTCCTCCTCCGCCGCCGCCGAGGTCTCCTCAGAGCCGCCCTCCCGCCATCTTCCTCCTCCTCTCCATAGCCCCGCCCCCCCCGCCCCGCCCTCTATACGTCATCGCCATGGTAACCGCCTACGCGCACCGACGAAGGGGGCGGAGTAAGGGGCGGGACTTGCGTGCATTCCTCAAGGCTCCGCCCCTTCTGGGCCGGACGTGCTGAAGGCACCTCCCCTGACTTAAGTCTGGCGCCTGTGGGACTTACAGCTGCTCTTTACCGCCAGCCTGGGAAGGAACAGTGTTGTTATTGCAATTAATATTAATACTGTAGCAACAATAATCCACAGAAGACGTTTATATTTTCAAAGATTTGTTCAGGGCTTCTGTGGTGGCACAGTGGTTAAGAATCTGACTGCCAATTCAGGAGATACAGTTTCGAGCCCTGGTCCAGGAAGATCTCCAAGGCTCGGAGCAACTAAGCCAGTGGGTGGCAACTACTGAGCCTGCACTCTAGAGCCCGCGAGCCACAACTACTGAGCCCGCGTGCCACAACTACTGAAGCCTATGCACCTAGAGCCTGTGCTCTGCAACAAGAGAAGCCACCACAATGAGAAGCCCACGCACCACAACGAGGAGTAGCACCCGCTTGCCACAACTAGAGAAAGCCCACGCGCAGCAACAAAGACCCAAGGCAACCAAAAATAAATTAAATAAATAACTTTACTAAAAAAAAAAAGGATTTGTGCAAACGTTTTTCCATTTTGATATTTATTCTTCATAAAACCCTCAATGATGGATCAACATTAATCCAAATTGAGTAACTAAAACAGACTAAATAGTTAAGGCCCACATGTATTTAAAGGAACCCGATTTTACATGCTCTAGGTGCTCAATAAATGCTTGTTGAATTTAATTAAAGACGTCAGTGCCAAGAATTGCATGCTGCTTCTGAATTTCAATGTAATTATCTAGTCCCGGGGCTACCAGAAAGGCCAGCAACAGCACCTGGGCCCAAACCAGGATTGTGGGTACCAGCTGGACTTGCGACTGAGCTTCCTGGAGATTAAGAGTGGGGTTGAGAGGGTAACCAATGTTGGGAGGAAAGAGAATCCTCTAGAGATACGGTTGGATTGCTACCCTCAGGGAGACCAGACATGGATCCAGCATCCAGGCTGACTGTCCTCGAGGAGAATGGAGAATAGATCACACACACAGCTTGGCACTACTTTGAGTGTGGGAGTGATTGTCCTGGAGGACCTGATTTTGGACACTAACCAAGGTCCTTCCCTGAGTAGAGGAGCCCTGGATAATAATAACTAACATTTGTTAAGCGCTCGCTGTCCATGTAACAAACACTATTCTAAACCCCTTATACATACAGTACCTTGTCCTTTAATTCTCACAATATTGAGGATGCCCAAAGACTAGGGGACTACCATGACCGAGACAGTACTCTTAGTTATCAAAATCTACTGTTGGCTCTTTTTTTTTCCATGTGTTTTTTCCCCTTTCCCCTTCCTTTTAATTCATGCCAGTAGGGATTCTGCAATTATTTCCTCAGGACAGGGGTGATGCATGATGGAAAACAGGCATAGGCTATGAGTCTTCCTGACTTTTATTGTACAAAAAAGCCTCAACCTTGGGTGAAAGGGTAATCAGGGTCAAAAAAAGAAGAAGAATAGGAGAAGGAGTGAGGACTCCTCTCAGCTCAGCACTATACCCCGCTGCCCTCCATAACAATTCCCCTCTACTGGAGGTAAAAGTTGTCAGGAGAAAAAAGACAGCAAGAGAGGGCTAGGCTCCCAGGAAGGAGGCACAACCACAGAGAGAAAATAACTGCATGGTGTGCCTAGGAAGACAGAACCAGGAGCAGCTGCAAAAGAGATTGCTGGGCCTTTACCAAGTATAGGCTAGAATGGTAGACTCTTTTTTTTTTAACTGAAGTAGAGTTGATTTACAGTGTTTCAGGTGTACAGCAAAGGATTCAGATATAGATATAGATGTAGATATCTTCTTTTTCAGATTCTTTTCCATTATAGGTTACAGTAAGCTATTGAATATAGTTCCCTGTGCTATACAGTAGGTCCTTGTTTATCTGTTTTATGTATAGTAGTGTGTATCTGTTAATCCCAAATCCCTAATTTATCCCTCCCCCGCTTTCCCCTTTGGTTATATAAGTTTGTTTTCTACGTCTGTGAGTCTATTTCTGTTTTGTAAATAAGTTCCTTTGTATCATTTTTTAGATTCTGCATATAAGTGATATCATATGGTATTTGTCTTTCTCTGTCTGACTTACTTCACTTCGTATGATAATCTCTAGCTCCATCCACGTTGCTGCAAATGGCATTATTTCATTCCCTTTATGGCTGAGTAATATTCCATTACACACACACACACACACACACACACACACACACACACACACACACCACATCTTTATTCATCTGTTGATGGACATTTAGGTTGCTTCCATGTCTCGATAATTGTAAATAGTGCTGCTGGGAACATTGGGGTGCATGTATCTTTTCAAATTATGGTTTTCTCCAGATATATGCCCAGGAGTGGGAAGTGGGATTACAGGATCATATGGTAGCTCTATTTTTAGTTTTTTAAGGAACCTCCATACTGTTCTCCATAGTGGCTGCACCAATTTACATTCCCACCAACAGTGTAGGAGGGTTCTCTTTACTCCACACCTCTCTAGCAGTTATTATTTGTAGACTCTTTGATGATGGAAGAATGGTAGACTCTTGGCAGCAACTCCTGTAGACCGTGGCATCCAGCTCCCAACAGCACCATACCTTGGTACCTTAACTGTACGCAAGATTCTGGAGCCGTGACTCAACCCAGAGAAGACAGGAAATCCTCAATACTATTACCAATAATTCTTAATTTTTCTTATTTTGGATCCAGAGCCCCAAGACTCAGTTGGACCTGAAAATCTTAGTTTATCTACAAAATTAAATTTAATAATAAGTTTTCTATTCCTAGCATTACTTCAGATAGTTCACTGACAGAACAATCAAATACTTAGTATTTATTGAAAACCTACTTTCTACAGAGTACTGTGCTAAGGTACTAAGAATGATAATCTGAATAGTTTTAGTCTGAATCAGAAGTGACTCTTACACTTTCTTTTGTAAATAGGCAAATAACTCTTCATTCATCAGAATTTTACTGAACACTATGATATGCCAGCCATGTCACTTTGGGAATGAAGGACAGTTCAAAAATAGGGCTTCTCTGGTGACGCGGTGGTTAAGAATCCGCCAGCCGGTGCAGGGGACACGGGTTCGAGCCCTGGTCCGGGAAGATCCCACATGCTGCAGAGCAACTAAGCCCCTGCGCCACAACTACTGAGCCTGTGCTCTACAGCCCGTGCTTTACAACAAGACAAGCCACTGCAGTGAGAAGCCTGCGCACCACAACCAATAGTAGCCCCTGCTCACCGCAACTAGAGAAAGCCCACGAGCAGCAACAAAGACCCAATGCAGCCAAAAATAAATAAGTAAATAAAGAAATTTATAAAAATAAATAAATAAATAAGACTCTGTCTTTTCCTTGGAGGACATCAAAATCCAGTCAGATAGATAGGCAGATAGACCAATATCTAGATTACAATGCGATATGCACTGTAACTGAGGTATCTACAAGGACATATTCAGCTGACTAGGAAGGGAAGGAGGGCATCCCAGCAAAAGTGACTTTCAAATACAGTCTTAAACAACTATGTGACAGGGAGAAAGACACCTCCAAAGATCTCAAAGGCAAAAATGAAGGAGAATTCAGGGCTGTTAGAGAATGGCAAGAAATTGTCTGACCAGAATATCCTTTAAGGCAGCTAAATGTCCCTGCCTCAAAGAAACTGTCCCCATCCCCTTACCTCCCTTACCCATTCTGGCTCCCGCATCCCCCTGGTGCACTCTCCTCACTGTATTGTCAGTAATAATTTGCGTCAGACTGTGAGCTCCTAGAAGACAAATTGCTCTTTTCTCTCGTTTTCTCTAATTTAGCGTGGTGCCTGGCATTAAAGCATTCAATAAATGTTGCCGAAGAAAAGAAAGAAGGAAGGAAAGAAGGGAAGGAGAGAAGGAAAGAGGAAGGAAAGGACAGCCACATAGAGGGAAGTTGCAGGAAATAAAGTTAAGTTGGAATAAGATTGTAAAGGAATAGATCATGACAGCATAGGCAGTGCGGGATCTTTGAAGTCTATGCAGTGACTAACTCTGCCTTGGGAAAGCAGTATAGTATGGCTTCCTGGTTTTGAACTATGGCTCTGGGAATAGACAGACCTGAATTAAAATCCCAACTCTGGCATTTATAGTGCGTGACTTTGGGCCAAGTACATTAGTGCTTAATGCCTCAGTTTCCTCATCTCTCAAATGGGAATAATAGCACTTCCCTGACAGGTGGTCATGAAGGTTAAATGAAATTCTGTACATAAAGCACTTAGCATAATGACTGACCTCTGGTTGACCACTCAGTAACTGGCAGCCCCTCGAAAACCTCTGTTAGCAGTGTGAAGGATGGACTAGAGTAGGAACAAACCAATAACCAATTTACTAACAAGCACCTATGTAGCATTTACTCTGTGACAGACACTGTTCTAAATGCTTCACAAATACAAACTTATTTAATCCCCACAGAGACCCCAGGAGGTAGCTACTATCACTCATCTCATTTTAGAGGTGAGTAAACTGAGACAGAGCAGTTAAGAATCTTGCTCAAGGTCAACCACTTAGTAAGTAGTAGAGCTGGGTTTGAACCCTGGCAATCCAGCTCCAGAGTCCTTACTCTTAACCACCATGTTATGTTGACTGTTGATGCAACAACCCAAGCCAGCCATAGTGATGGACAGAAAGGAGGTGTGATGTGTGACTCTAACCCTA